GTGGGCTTCACAGAAGCTTCTGGAGCCCAATGCACAATACCCAGGTTTGTGCTTTGGGCTTGGTAAGTTAGGTAGGGTCCCCCTAAATTCACCAGATCCACCCAGAACCTCAGAATATAACCCTATTTGGAAAGTGAGTTTTTTAAGATGTAATTAGCTAAGGATCTTGAAAAGAAATTACGCTTGATTTAGGGTGGACTCCAAATACAATGACTGGTGTCTGTATAAGAGGAACGAGAGGGAGATTCGCAGGCTAGGGAAGACGGCCACGTGATGGCAGAGACTGGAGGGATGCAGCCACAAGCCCAGGAGCCCCTGGAGGCCCCAGAAGCTGGAAGGGGCAGGAAGCGTCCTCCCCTAGAGCCTCTGGAGGGAGCACAGCACTGCAGACACTTTGATTTTGGATTTCTGGCCTCCGGAACTGAGAGGAATGAATTTTTGTTGCTGAAGCCACCAACTGTGTGGTCACTTGTTATGGCGGCCACAGCAAACTCACGCAGTAAGTTCCCCAGAAAGAAGCCCCCGTGTCCTGACCGAGGCCTCCAGGAGCTGAGAGGGTCTCACAGCGCAGGACTTCAGTTTTCACCCAGTCTCCTGGTTTCCAGGAAGTCCCTCCACCCTTGGCGTTAGTGTTACAAGATCCAGAGTCCCTCAGCTGTGATTCTTCTCTGGCACGAGGCTCAGGGAGCGCTCAGCAACAATAAGGGACACGAAACCCACCAGAGGCCTTCACGTCGCATGGCTCAGTCCGCAGTGAGCACCGACCTCCAGAACCAGCTGGCAGGCTGGAGCAGGGCCACCCAGCCACGTCGGCAGCCAGGTTATGACCAGATGTGAGAAGTGAAAGGTGCTGACCAGCAGGCCGCTGGCTGGGCCGCGGGCACCAAGCAGACCTGGGCGCCCCCTTCCTCTAACGGAGACCCCTGGGGAGCCATCCACGTCTCGCCTTGGTGCGCTCCTGAGACGTCTGGGCCGAGGCAGAATCTGGACGTCCAGGCGCAAACACGATCAGAGGGAGCTGCTGTTCGGGCCTCCTCCCGGAGTCTCCGCTCTCGGGGAAGCATGCTCTGGTGTAAAGAGCTTCCATGAGACCCAGGTTCCTGAACAGAACTGTACAGACATCCCACTGCACGCTCCTTGCCCCCCACAATGGGGTGCTCGTGCACTACAGTATCCAAATGCAGTGTTTCATAGCTAATTTGAAAAACGGATTTTAATCTGGCTGTTTTATTCTGATTTAGGAGATGCTACAGCAGCTCACAGTGGAGCATCTTGCAACATATAAAGGTTACAAACTGTGGCCGAGTGAGCACAGATCAGAATACTCCTGAACACCACTAACACGTGCGGTGTGCAGCCCCAGCTGGCTAACCTCTGCGGGGAGAGGCGGCGAGTTGGCAGGAAGACGTTCTGCTTGCTGTGTGGGCCCAAACTCCCCACTTCCGACTTCCAGCCTTTTCCTTCCCTCTTCTGCCTGCTCAGGAAGACCTGCTGTGAGGGGCAGAGTCGGCCTGGCAGGGCTGAGGGGTGGAAAGCTGCAGGGGTGACCGTCAGCTCACAGCCTGGCTCCAGGGAGCAGGACCCCTCGTGGGGGTGCCTAAGAGGGGATGCTGCTTTTGACCTTGGGGAGAGCCTGCAATGTCCACTCTGGTCACTTTGCCCAGTGCAGACCAACATCCACAGAGCAGGACAGAGCGAGAAAGCAGTGCCTTGAAAACCACCGCAGATGCCAGGTCCTCCTCCGAGTACCCCCTGGACAGGAGGTTTCCAGCTTATCATCACTGCATACGATCATAACTGCACCTCGTGCTGTGACCGTGGGCATGAGTGGTCACCCTGTGACACGGACACACTCAAACATTCTCATTCTACTGCCTCCTCCTTCTTTTAAATGCTGATCATGACCCACTGAATTAATTTCACGACGCACTAATGGGGTGACGACCTGCACTTGGAAAAGCAGTGATCTAGGAAACGCAAACTGCAGCTCATGTCCGCGGCCTGGATTCAGGTGATGAGTTGATCAGTCGATCCACACATTTATGCAGGCCTGGGGTGGGGAGTGGGGTTGGGGACCATAAGGCCCAGTGCCTGCCCTCAAGCAGCTGACAGTCTGGTGGGAAACACGGGGATGAGGTGACTGCCACTTCCAGCCGTGGCTGTGGCTGCAGGGGGCTGGGCTGAGAATGGGCAGCTGGGTTGGAATTGGCAATCACGGGGCCCATCACATGAGTCTCTTAAAGCCCACTTCACAGAAGACCAATTTACGGTAAAATGTGAAACCCCGCAGTGCTAATCTAGAAGAGAATCCGGATGCCATCATGCAAGTGGGATTACGTGTTCCAACTATGTGGTGTTGGGGTCCAGAACTCAGCTCACCTTACAAGGAAGCTTTTAAAGCAGGTCACCAAGGGCTGAGGTTCTTTTAGAGCCAGAGCCCCAATGCAGACTCTAGGGAAGATAAAGGAGCCCCCCGGGTCCCCTGGAGTCATCACACAGCCACTTAACTGGATCTGTCAAGGTGTGAAATATGACACCACGGGCCATTGCGTAGGACAGAGGTGGCGGAGCTCCCTGCACATGCTCCGCCCACTGAAAGCAGGGCAGTACCTCCACGTGTGGGTGCCGTCCCCTCCAGGGGAGTTGAGGACCCCTAGAGGAAGCCCCTCTCCCTGATGTGCACGGGGGCTGCAGCTTCCTTCCTGCGCCTGGACCACGGGCTTCTCCCGCGGCACCTGGGCCAGCAGACACACCCGCCTGTGCACCTGTCACAGCGCCAGGTGCCCTCTGGGGCGGGCAGGTCAGAGAATGTGTCTTCTGAGCCAGGAGACACATGGGGCTCAGGCAAACTCAGGGCCAGCCTCTGAGCTGGGCAAACCCAGCAGATGGAACCCGCCCCCCTCCAAAGCCTCCTGACCACCAGGCCATCTGTGTCACCAACCTCTCCCGGCTGCAGTTTGCACGGCTCTTAAGCCAAGATGATTGTCCGAGCTCGCAGGCCTGCGGGGCCAAATGGGAGGAGGGTCTGCACCAGCCTCAGCAAGGTTCTCTGAGTGGGTTAAGGAACTGAGGGGCAGTGGTGGGGGGGTGGGGCTGGGCCTGCAGAAGGGGCCGCAGGACAGGGTGCTTGGTGCCCCTGCCCCATGCAGCCGTCCCCACAGATCCTGCGAGGGTCATGGGGGAGAGTGCAGGGAGCCGAGTGCAGGGAGCTGGGAAGGCTCGTGGGCTTGATGAGACGAGAAGCCCCATTCGCCTGTGAGAACACATGCGGGGCCTCAAGTGCAGCCTGACCACCCCGCCGTACCCCTAGGCGCACGGCCACCTTGAGATAGTGGTGGACACCGAGGCCAAAGAAGGACAGTGACCTGTCCGTGGTCCCTCAAGGCCTCAGAGGCCTCGTCAGGACAAAGGTTTCCTAACCTCCAGGCCTGTGTCCTTGTAGGGACCACAGTATGCCTAGGTGCTCGGTACATCAGCACCCGTCTGGGCTCTCATGTGGGAGTGGAAGGCTTTCCCCGGCTGGAAAACAAGACAAGTTTGCAAAGGGACACTGCAGTGGGCAGGCGGTCTGGTGCCTACCCACCAGGTCTCGCCTCCTCTGGGTGTTCATTCAAAAGACTCCTGCACGCAGGGCTGCCCTGGGCCCTGCTGGGCGTCCACACACTGACCCTCAGGTCCCACGGATCTGGGGATGGCGGCCCCAGCCAACCAGGGGTCTGCTTGTCCTCAGGTCTCCCTCTTTCCAGAACAGCACACAGACGGGCACCTAGAAGGGTCAGCCGCCTCCTAGATGCTGGTGGAGGTGGCAGCCACACCTCAGAAGCCCGCCCACCCCCTCGGAGTGTGAGGCAAGTGGCAGGCAATGAGCTCGCAGATCCCAGCACACTTCACAGGTGTGAGGACAGGATCACTGGCTTCCGTGTTGAACACGGAAAAACAAGCACAGCTGATGGCTCAGACAGGCGCACGGGGCGGCTGCAACACCTGGCGGGCCGGGGGACGGCCCACTCCAGCCCGCCGTCAATGCTCCGCATGGACGGACAGCCGCGCTTGGGGTGGGCGCTCCCAGGCCAGGCCCAGGCCTTTGAAGGAGAGGCTGTTGGAAAGGCTGAATTGTTCAAATTCCCACAAACACAACAGGCCTTCAAGAAATCCGATGGCCGGCCCGGCCTGCCTCATGGCTTTACAGTAGAAAGTAAACCAACCTGCCCCCACACTGCTCCCCAACAACCGGGAGGTGGAGCGGGCAAAGGGGCTCTGAGGCCCACCTCTGAGACCACTCTTCTGAAGGCTGGTTCCTCAAGGCTCTCGCTGCGATAGGAGCAGCCTACGGAGCCGGCGCTGCCCTGCCGGGACCAAGTTCACAAGGATGGGCACTGGGCGCTCTGTAGGCCAAGTCCACGGGGGCGGCCTCCACTTCCCACTGGCAGATTGTGGTCCCTAGTCCAGGCTCTTCCTCGTGAGGTTAATACAGAAAGCCGAGGACTGGAGCGGGCTATGATCTCCTGACCATGAGTCCCACCTCAACGCCATGGGAATGTTAAGTCAGGGAGATCTGGGGCCCTTGTGGAAGGTTCTGGAAAGCCCTGCTGGCGTCTGAGTCTCCTCCAGGAATCACACAGAGAGATGGGGCCACGGCCCCCCGGGACCAGGGGAAAATCCACCCGTGATTACCCCCTTCCTGCCCCAACAGCCTCTTTGTGAGAACTCAGAGGGGCTGTTTTAGCAATTTTTTCAAGAGGCCAATCTGATGTCACTGCTCCAAGGAAAGCCCGAGATCGCCTGGTCCCAGAGCATATTCTGACAGTGGGGAGGAGGTTGGGGAGGGCGGGGGGGGGGGGCTGGTGGCCTCTCCACAGGAGGAAGCCAGCGACCAGCTTCCAGCTGTCCCCGTCATCACAGGCGTGGGGTCCACCTCCCCTCGTGTGCTCCGTGCCCACCCGAGGCCCACTGACCCTCCCGGTGCTCCCACAGGAAAGCAAAGGGAGCCAGGTACCTACCGTGGTGGTCTTTATCCGGCCCCCAGGCTGCGTGCACGTCCAGCCTGACCGATTGATTAACAAGTCACAGCCTTCCCCCTCCAGACAAGGGAGCATGTCACACCACTGCTTCGTTCTGATAATGCGCGCTGTGGGGAGAAGAGAGAGCGGTCAGCCACCTGGGACACGGGACGACTCCTAGTGCTGGGTCTCGGTGCCAGGCATCAGGGACAGGAAGGCCCGGGGGCAGTGCCTGGTGTCAGTCGGGGTGGCCTGGCCAGGCTGCTGCTCCCCCCTGATCTCCCAGTTGAGCGCTCGCTGCCCAAGTCCGGCTCTGCCGCTGGCCACTCAGCAAGCAGTAACCGAGGGCATTGCAGACAGCTTGGAGGAGCAGCCACGGCCCGTTCCTGGAGGGGACAACTTAGTTCTCTCCTTTGTCTGGATTCTACTTGACAACCAGGGAAGGACAACAGGAGGGGTGCCCCCGGTCAGGGTACCCCTCAGACGTGACAAGGGTGGCCCACGCGTAGGCTGGGATCCGGGGGCCTGGGGTCAGCGCTAGGAGTGAGGTCCCCAGGAAGTGTGCAGCCCAGGCCACCATCAGGCTGACTCTCTAGTGGGTCTTACAGTGACCACGGCCCTCCCCGGGGCTGACCTGAGGCCGCTCCAGTGCCAGCGACCTCAGGACCCAAAGACTAAGGACCCTGAGTTCCTGTCATCACCCCAGGGGAGGGAGGTGCAGTCACAGGAGCAGGGAGACCCCAGGGAGCCCCTGATTAGCACAGTGACTCCCACCCAATCTCTTCCAGGCAAGAGACAGCTGAGCTTCTCTGTTCCCGGGAACCCACCCCCAGCCTGTGGCTGTAGGTGATGGGTGGCCTGGAGACTCCTCTCTGACGGAAAACACTAGAAGCAGGGAATTCATAATGACATAAATGTGGATTGTATGCACCTAAGTGTCATTAAACGAATCTCAAAAGAACCACTGGTGGTTTTTTGAATTAGGACAGAGTGTACGTAATTCTAATCGCACACATGACTGCGTTGGCCGCACTTGTATAAAATCGGGATCCGTAAAAAAGGAGGGTATTCCAGTTGGAAAGCCTGGGCATTCAGATTAAACGCCAACCATCTGCCAGATGTCATTTTACTTCAAAGTGAAGTTATCAACACGCACGCTCACACACACTGGATCCTACCCCGACTCTGGCCCCCGTGTTGGAGACTGCAGGAAACCTAGGATCTCAGAGGAAAAGGAGAGTTAAAGGCTAGATTCCAGGTCACGAGAGAACAGACGTGTCCTCACGAACTGGCCCCGTGCTCACTGAGTCAACAACGCGGCCGCAGGATGTAAGGCCACTGACCGCAGCCCTCACTCTGCACCCGAGCTGGGGGCCGTGCAGATCCCCATTTTCCACCCCTCGTCCACGCCCAGCTCTCAGGACCTGCTCCCTCGTCCGGTGGGGCTTGAACTCAAGCCGGTTTGGAGGCAGTTGCATCCCGTTCTCCCTGCTGGAATTCCCACTTCCCGGGAATTGAGGTTCTGAGTCCCCTCTGGCCCCGCAAAGCAGAGAACCGGCGTCTCAGCTGCAGCCTCGCTGGCCAGCCTGGTAGGGCGGGGAGGGTCCACTGCCCCCACACAAGGTGTGGCTCAGAGACCCCTCAGCTTTCCCAGCGCCTTTCTCCGGGGCCTTCTCTTCCATTTCATCTTTTTTACTTTATTTAAATAAATCCAAGGACCCCAGTGTACATCACCTAGAAGTGTTGTCCCCAGGATCCCTGCTTACTAACATTTCCCCCGAGATTTCTCACAGCTGGGGAGGGAGGACCACCACATAAACAGTTGGTACGCAAACACGTGTGTGTATGCGCACGTGTGTTCAGATGCGGCATCCACCTGACGGGGGAGGCCAGCTCCACGGGCGTGCTCTTGGGCAGCGTACACGGCCCTGCGCTAAGTGCTAGTGCCAGGTAACGCAATGCTCTTCCCAAATCTTGAGATTCTTAATAATTTCTAAGAGTCCCTGCATCTCCATGTTGTGTGGGGCCCCCCAGTTACGTAGCCAGCCCCGCAGGCAGTGACTGTCCCTGCAGGAGTGGTGGGTAAATGGCCACAGGGGACCTGGGAGAGAGCTCACCCCAGCGAGGGCGTGGGCCTCGGAGCCATTCCAGGGGAGGCGCATTTGGGAAATCTCAACAAAGGGGTGGACCTGGGAGGCAATTTGGAAAATGGGCTAAGGATGGTGGCAGCCCAGGTGACTGGCGTCTCGTTGCTGATTCTGACAAACTGTTATGAGCCACCGGAAGAACTGGAGGGAGCACAGCAGAGAAGAGTCCTGGGGTCAATTAGTTATGCCTGCCATGGGCACAGTGAAGGGCCCTGTGGGTAGTGTGCTGCCACCTCGGCCCCCCCATGCATCTTTCTATCCACAGCCAGTGAGGTGGGTTGTCCAAAAGCTAGTCATCCTGAGACCAGCTCCCTTCTAGGTCATGCTGTGGATGGAAATGTGTCCCTCCAAGTCAAGCTCTAACCCCCTATGGGACTGTATTTGGAGACAAGACCTTTACAGAAATAATTAAGGTTAAATGAGGTCGTGAGGGTGGGGTCCTCATCCGATAGGATTAGTGTCCTTATAAGAGGAGACATCACAGAGCTCTCTCTCTCTCTCTCTCTCCATCATGCGAGGACGAGAGAGAGGCCGGCTGTCTGTAAGCCAGGAGATCCCTCACCAGAAACCAAATCAGCCGGCATCCTCATCTCAACCTTCCAGCCTCTAGAACTGTGAGAAAATAAATGTCTGTGGTTTAAGCCTCCTAGCTGGTGGTATTTTGCCACTGCAGCCAGAGCTAAGACAGTCAGGGAGACCCCAGGACTCGGGCACGTCCCTCATTCAACGGAGAAGTCGGTGTGGGAAAATACTCCAGCCGAGAGAAGGGCTCCCCACGGGAGGGCGGAGAGGAGCCTATTCTGCTCTCAGACTCTCATGGGGACAGGGCATCTCCTGGCTGCCCTGGAAGTGTCTCCATGATGAAGAGCCACCGCGGGCTGACGTTTCCCGAGCTGGCTCTGAGAGAAGCCCCCTCCATGCTTCCATCAAGCCCTCCCAGGACCGGGGGAGTGACAAGCCCGCTGCGTTTACCAGCATGCCTCCCTCGGGCCCCTTTTCCTCGTCTGCTCATTATTCCTGCAGAAGTCCCCACAGCCGTCCCACCGTCCCCAATGCACCATTTTGGTGACAGTAAAAGATGCCACAAAAACCTCATTGGGCACCAATGAGTACAAACCTTAACCCATGAAGAAGCTACAGGATTGAAATGCATCCCCCAGTGCCTGGAAACCCTATGTGCAATGCCTGAGTGAAGGTCCTGACGAATTCAAGGGCAGGGGTGTCCCTGGATCAACCAGCAGGAAAAGGAAGCTCTGGAGGCAGGGAGGCTGAGAACCAGCATAGCCTGCCAGACTGCCAGAGGGGCCGAGTCATTTGGAATGGGACAGCACAGACCAGGCGGCCAGGACAGCACGGGCAACGCCAGAGGTCAGGTCCTGATGCCCGCACCATGCTGGCTGGTCTGCAGGACACACTGCGACATAGCCAGACACCAGAGTTAGCATGGCCGCCTGAAGGGACACACGCCTGGGTTCAAATCCTGCACTAGGGGATGCCAGCCGGGGGACCTCGACCAAGCAGTGCTCACCCCGTGGGCTTGGTCCTCCCCGGGAAGCGTGGTGCCCAGGGGGACGGAGGAGAAGGTGCAGGTGGGAATTCCCAGCACAGGGCTCGGCTGGTCAGTGCTCACAAACACACACCTCTCATGGTCAGGCTATTTGCGGTCACTCGGACTAGAGGCTGGGGCCGTTGATGGACCCTGGGGGAGACAAGCCAGCCCGCTGCACGCCCACCCTCTGTTCCACTCAGGCCAGTTCACTTTCCTGGAAGCACACGTGGGCTGCTGCTTCCTCCCCTCTCCCTCCCCTTCCTGCTCCTCACACACTCAGCTCTAAGAGCTGGGAAGACTGGGGCACGTGGCCCTGCTGTCACCAGGACAGAGCCCAATAACATGATGTGTCAGCATATGGGATGGTGCTGAGGGTCAGGAAGAGGGAGAAAGGCGTGAGGGGGCGGGGTCCTGATGGCCTTAGTTTGCGGGGGACGCATCCTGCCCATGCTGCAGCCACATGTGTACACATGTGTGCACATGCACAGGAATGCAGGAGTCACACAAATGCATGTGTGCAGGCACACACTTACGAACACACACATGCAAACATACATGCACACACCCACATGTGCAAACAGCACACACATGCACAGACAGGTACACACATGTGCATTCACAGGTACATACACTGACAAGCAGACACACCGAGTTACCGACCACTGCCCGTCCTCCACCCAGCAGTGGCCTGGGCGTGCCGGGTGCCAGCCCCGTCGAGGGCACTGGCCGGCGGCACTGAGCACACAATGCCTCTTGTTTGCCGGGGGAGCTTGGCTCACTTGGCCCGGCCCACTTCCTGCTGAGGCAGTCGGAGGCATGGTGCTGGGCCACCACGTCCCGGGGACAAAGGGGCCTTTCATGCCACATGTCACAACTTCATCTCCTCTGGCCCCCGACATACAGGCTGGGGCCCTCTGGCTGGGGAGGGCATCTGTCAAGGGCTGCCAGTGCCCGGGGGTGTGAGTGACGGTTGCTGACGGCTGGGTTCTGGGACAGTTGTCACAGTCTGTCCATGTGCCACAACCATGGAGGGCTCCTCAGCCCAAGGCAAGTCAAGGACACGGGGTCGCATTCATGACCACATCCCCAGTGCCTGTCCCTGGGTCTGGGGGTGAGCAGGTTTGTCCAGACTGGACCTCAGGGCCCCAGATGGACTGGCTCTGTGAGTCCTGAGCCTTTAACAGGGCAGTGAAGCCCCTGGACTCGGCCCAGCCTGGCCTTGGGGTAGCCCCACTCCCTCCACCTTACACACGTCCCCAGAGATGCCACCAGGACCCAGTAGGTGCCCCTCCACCCCCAGCCAGGGTCATCACAGCACATGAGCACACACACGTCCACACACGTGCACACGCAGACACAGTGTGCAGTTCTGTGACTTGCTGCCAACCTTGCGCGTCCATGGTATCGGCCTGCAGGGTTCCCCCACTGCCCG